TCAGTAAGGAACTGTATTATACACAAGAAGACAAAGAACATAAGAAATAGGAGAATCCTATATAGGAAGAAAAGAAAAAGAGCAAAAGTTAGATGTACATGTACATATACTAGGAGGAGAGAAGGCAAAAGAGAGGAAGAAATGTCAATACGAGACAAATTAAGATATACAAGAATAGGGGTCAAGGAACACAACAATGAGAATAGAGAAATGCAGTACCAATAAGGATGGGCAATATATCAGTATTTAGTAACTATCATGATAATATTGTAGCTAACAGAATATAATCCTTTCTTACTATACATGTGAGTGGTACATGTAATCAAATATCGTAACCCTTAGCACAAGTGTGATGTAAAAGGTACCACTACTAATCCAGACTAAGTTACATGTACTGTGTTGGATTTTCTAGGCTAGGAACCATTACAAAGGATCATTGTTATTGTAACAGCTTTGATGAACACAATTATTAGTAATTATTGTGATATCAAAATGAGATATTGTGCTGGTAAAACAACATTCAATATTTCCACCCTTAAGTACTTATTAACAACACACGTACATGTCAAGATTGCGTATTTTTCAGTATACTATTACAAGATGCATAAACAGCTATAAGGATTATTATAATACCACATTGCAAGTTAGCTTAGACTGCATGATTGATGGCTGCTTGTAAATCTTATGCACACAGACACAAACCATATGGTGCACAGACACAACACCCTGGGGCAATAGTAATGATTACAGGGTACTAAGTAAAGTAGCATAATAGTAAAAGCAAGAGTTTTTGTGAACATCAGGAAGTAATTGTATAATGTAATTCTCATAATACAAAACAGACTACTATTACATGTACAGCAATATGCTATAAGTGACAACAACAAGTATAGCTGGAAACAACTAATCAATGCAGAGGCTTTTCATCCTGTGCCCAATGACTGATGCCTTTCTAAAAAACTTCATGCCGGCAAAAAAATCCAATGCACAGACACCTTAAAACCACTTAAATTACAACATTATTTTTTATTAATAACAATGGCTTATTGTAATAGTAACAGTAATATGCTTTACTGCAATAATAATAATAATAATAATAATTATTATTATTATTATTATTATTATTATTATTTCAACTGTAAAAACATAATATGCGTGGACAAGGACTAAGGAACAATATCAAATGAACAGTTAATGACTGGCTGCAACTTGTACAGCAACCATAAGTACTAATAGCTCGACTAATAGTAATGGATTATATATATTCAGTAATTGACTACTGAATAATGATTATATACATGTAAGCCTACTAGATACTAACCAGTACTCCATCCACTTCGTGATTTAAAAAACCATGATCCACTGAGCTGCCTTTCTTGATTTTTCAGGCTTTCAGCCTCCTGAGCGAGCTCCTGAGTGAGCCTCCATAGCTCCTTGACATCCCTCCCCCTTATTCATTAATCATTAATTAAGCTAAACTACTTATTATTCATAGTGTCTATCCCTAAGGATAGTTTCCAGGAACAGTTACACCTAACTCCGGACAACTATCCAGGAACAATAGGATAACCGGGTGGCTGCATTGCTGCAAAGGTGTGGCTGCAATGAAGGTGTGGCTCAATCAAGCCATGCTCCACCCGCACACACAGTAATGGTGGCACGTGGCCTTAAGTGGTGAAGAAAGCTTTAGTTTTTCTCAACTTTTAAAGATTTTAGCACACATTTGTTAGACTCTATTTGTTGCATACAAATGTCTATTGAGCCCCTGATGTCAAAAGACTCTGGCCGCTACTTCGGGAGAAGAGAGCCTCGTCTAAACTCACAAAAGTATGAATGTTTGGGCTACCATATCTTTAAAACGAAGATGATTAGAGCAATTCCTCTCATAATAATGAAAGAGGAGGCTTTGCTTTATTGTTTTATCTGCCCAGTTGCTCTTTTGCTCACACTATGAAAGAGTTGTCGGGGAACCGACCTACGTTTGGCGACTTTGCCAGCTTCTTTATCCATGGAAAAGAAAAATATAGCATTCCCAAGACGGAGAATAACTTTTTCTAGAGCCAGTGTTGATTATAAGACTCTTGAGGACTAGACAAGAAAGCAGTGTCAGCTCAAAAGTGGAGGTCAAGCGAACACACACACACACAGACAAAACGACTGCTTTACCCTCGCTTCCACGCCTACGCGTGGGCTCGGGTAACGAGTGCACTATAGCACATGCCCTCGCCACAATCAGAATGGATTTCAGTGTTCAAAAAACCAAAAGGGCAATTATATGCCCTCCAAAAATTTTAATGCAACAAATTTATCAATTATAAAATCTGACTCTAAAATTTCAAAAAACCTCTTCTTAAGAATGAACTTTTTTGCTAAAGGTATCATGGTTCATCAAGGTTCACCTAAGCTCCTCCCTTGGTTTCATAGGCGGCTGCAGGGTCGGGCATTTAGGGGCAATGCCCGACCAAAAATTCTGACCGGAAGTGTGACATCACCATAATTAATAGTTATTCTATTGTTAATTAATAGTTAATAACAGTTATTGCAATTATAATTTCAATTTTTTATGAAAATCTTATAACTATGAATGCATAAATGGCAGGCTGATAACAAGGTGATGAAGAGAGACTAAATAAAGGAGGAGGTGGTAAGACTTTGGTGCCAATCACAGTGGGCCACCACAGCAACACTAGAAAGCATAATCATTTCATTATTTAGTGCTATTTCAGTGTTTTTTTCTTGTCAGTTGCAATGTCTAAAAGCTTCACTATGTCCTTTGTGAACAAGCCTGCTAAAAAGGAACAACAGTTTACAAAGTGAACCTAGTAAGTACAGTATAGAAGTCAATAATACAGATTATCTCATATTCTTACTTTAGGCCAGTCTCTTGTTGAATCAGTTGATGATCATGAGTCTCAGTCTACTCTTGTGGTTGATACAGCTACAGTTTTTACAGCTACAGTTGATGTACAGTGAATTGTTGCTCATTCTCCATCACCCTATTCTTCTACTTCCTCTACTAATACTACTACTAGTACTATTACCACTACAGAAGTCAGTGTTGGAGCTACACTACCCACTACTTTATTACAATAACCTTCGCTACCAAAAATTGCGCTAAAAAGGGTGCGTAAAAGAGGGTGTGGCCAAAATCGCGGCGCACTTCGCGCGCCCAACCCATTTCCTGCGCCACACCCATGCCCGACTAGTAGTCAAATCCTGCAGCCGCCTATGCTTGGTTTATTATTAGTTATATTCATGTACATGTATATACATGTACATATAATATGTGAATGTCATATTAATTAATCATTATTTATTTAGATCTAACCTGATATAATTAAGCTGATTACTTAATGTACATCTAACATATATATTAGAATACTTCTAAGTTCCTGCAATGTAAAAATATAGCCATTACAGTATGCACCATCATCATGCATGCATGGTGGCATGTATTAATAAAGTGGAATCTTACATCTGGAGCCTCTAATTCATAGATTTCCTGATTTCTTTTAGAAGTCGAACTTTTCATGATGTAGACTATTATACTTGATGTCTCAAACAGGCTGAAACAGTCAGTGATGTGGCACCATAGACAGTGACACGAGTGTAGACCTTGATCTTATAGCGTGGGAGGTCCCTCCACACCTTTCATGGGTAGGGCTAGGCTATAGAGCAGCGCTAGCGGTAGGCCTGAGGGGATTATTCCAAAAAAATTTCCTATTATTCTATTCCCAAATTCTTAATTTTTTTGTAATTATTCTTCTGTATTTATGGCTATTATTCTCAAATTATTCATGTAACATAAGATAAGCCTGTATGAATATATAGTCCAAGAGAGAGGCTTGGAGAGAGGTGTCTTGTTGATCACCAAATGTTGAGTTAAGTAACGAAAATACTCCTTCTATGCTAAGCTTCCACTAGATGGCTGTAAAAGCATGATTTTTTGGCTACATGAGACCAAGCTGGCAGTCCTTCTGAATTACAATTCCACCATTCAACACATGAAGTAGCCATTTTTATTCCCGTTCACTACCGTTTATTCTTAATTTATGCTAGTATTCTCAAGGAACCTATTATTCCTAAAATTATTCCAGC